TAAAATATGTTTTAAATAATATACTACTCGATACGAAAATAGGTTTATAAAGCGCGATTGTAATAGTCTGTAAAATTGTCAATAAAAGTATAGAAGTCTTATAGGCCTACTAAAGAGATTGAAATTGTGTTTAACGTCTAATCGACATAAACTAGATCATTTCCGGAGTAACACATGGTACAATTTGATTTCAATAATTCACTTGTGCGTCAGATCATTAGTAGTTCCAGCTAAATTCTTACAATATCTTCAAATAAAATTACGGGTCCGTTCTTTTATTGGTTATACAGATTCTAAGCCAGTAAATGAACGGTTCTGAAGGAAGTCGAGGAGGCGATCTTATGATATTTAAGGGATCCATTTTCATATTAAAATGCCCCCCCCCCACCCTGCCCCCAACAATGATGTTCACTTTCGTTCATTTGTAATAACCCAGAAACGATGCAAAACTATATCGAGATAAATTTTACTATAATTAATTGCATCCAACCAAAATCAAACAAAATTGACTTAGAGGGAGAGAGAGAAAAAGAGAAGGGGGGGGGGGTAAATGTCCAGTCGACACAAACTAGTTAATTTTGGGACTAACATAATTTAATCAATAGGAGGAATCTGTAGGTACCGGAGAAAATCCACGAGATATCTTGAAAGGCCCATGTGTGTCTTTCTGACAACTAGTTATTACAATATTATGCAATTGTGAATTTGGAGTGAACGTAAATCCAATGATCTACGCAGCCGAAATCTAGTTTCTGCACTGGCAAAATTCTCCCTCGGTTTCTCATTTTGTTAGCGTAACAATTACCGGTTTATGTTGGTTTAAACGCAAGTATTTAATAACATATAATTACACACAATATGAAATACATAATAAATTATATGGATTCGGAAACAAGCTATAAGGCATACATTAATCCGTCTCAGTCTATGTTGATGACTGAAATTCATACAAACATTTAACCCAAATGTAGATTTGTGTTTTCGTGTGATTTAATTTTGATCGGAGAAAAATTTCTTTTAATATTTTGTTTTTGATATGAAATAGGTATTACGAGTTTCTACTGAAATAATTTAATTTTCATAACATTAATGCATATTTGGATTATAAATTTATATTCTGAGTAAAAATCAGACAAATATCACGGTTTAATTAGACAGCGATTCAATTAAAAATAAAACTGTAAAAATCTTTCTTCTAATCCAGGGTATCAATATATAAATTCTATAGGCATGTTTGAAATCATTAAGGCTGTTTATACCATGATCTCTTCTGACAGGTAAAAACAAGTAAGTAGTGGACAATAGACTGGCCGTTAGTAACCGCATACTGACCAATTAGAATGAGCGAGCTTAGAAAGCAGCGAAACACATGAGTTGACAACAAAGGCCCACTGCGGATTGTTACATAACAGATGAGGGTATAAATCGGTTTGCTTTCCGTTGATTGGCAGTGGGGTCACTGATGTCCAGTACAGGTAGAGAAATAACTCACCTGTTATCAAATCTACAGCTATGAGTTACACTACTGCATGTCAGTCAATATTGATGGAAGGAAATCATGGAGCTTGATGAACAGGTAAGAATATTTGACAAATATCATTTCAGCTAATGAATTCAAATTGTATATTGTTCATTATTTCAGTATGGCAAAAAGCTGCAACATTTTGGTTTTATTTTTTAATTTTTAATAACTAGCATATTAGTTCATTCATAATCAGTGATCATACATTAGATTTCTAATTTATTGATCAAAACATAAACTTTACACGTTTAAATACTGTGCTCAATTTATACTTGATCAGTGTGCATCTATGCGTCTTTGCACGTGTAAATTGCTGACTTGTTGACCTATTTGCTTCCGATGTAAACATTGACATCTCTGATCTGTTCAATCTGAAATATCATCTTCTGTTGCATCACATTTTATCCTACATTTCGTTTAAAATTACAATATAACTCTATATCTTTAAAGTTTGAAATAAATTAGAAATTTAACATATGCTTTATCTTAAAAAGAAAACAATAAATACTCAATACTTCTAGTAGATCCCAAACGTGGAACATTTTTATCTTTCGTATATACATGGCGCATAAAAACTTGATGGCATTCATTAACAAATTTAATGGTCATTAATCAAATTGAATAGATTTTCGAACCGAGAAAAACGTTGACAATCATATCATGTAACTATTAATATGGTTCTGGTGTCTATTAGGGGAAATGCAGCAGTTTAGGTTCTATTTGTCATCATCTTAGAAAAATATTATTATAGAATGGTTTGATCGAGTCATTCAGAAAATATGTCAAGTTTGTTCATATAACATGCATATTAATGTTACCGTAAATAGGACGTGTCGCTTTCACCAATGTCATACCGAAGTTCCATGCGTAAACTTCTAGCAAGAGTCGCCTTATTTTCAACCTTATGGCTTTTTTAAGGGTCCTCCGGTTTGCTCCTATTGGAATAAAATTATAATGTAAGTTAGTCGCGAAATGACCTAGCTTGTGTTGAGTGGACGTTAAACTCTCTGCAAGGGCCTATATTTACTCTTGTACAAGACTCTCTTTTCTCCTTTATTTCGCATGGTGATTTGTGCTAAACTCGGAATATTTTATCAACACAGTTAACAGGCACACCATTTGGTGAAATCCTATTTGTCATTTTGTTTTTTTGCCATCTGAAAAATCTATTCTAATCAAACCGAAAAGTGGTTTAAAGTCAATTGGTTTATTTCATTCAAAAGCCAGGCCTCGACGTGCTATTGTTAAATTTGAATCATAATAATAATACGGTGGCATAAAGGTGAGCTGTTACCAGTCCTCAGTGAATAGAAACCACCAACTTTTTATGCTTGGGTGGTTGGAAGTTATTTGCCTGGGGCCATGCTCGAGTGTTATCTCTATCGATTGTCGCTTTCTTGTTATTGTCCAGTTTGAGCCAAGTTACGTAACTCTGGAACAGGTGAAAGCACACGACAATAAAATAATAGACGACGCCATTGTTAAGAGGATCATTTTCCCTGGCGATAGAACAAATTACGTACCCGGTGATGCCGCGGGGATATAAGTAACTATAATATGTACACGAAACTTGGCTTCAAGCTATACTTATTCATTACTTAACCATTTCAGTTACATTATTCAGTTAAACTAAATTTGTTTGATCAGTTTTCGTTAAAGAAACATAATGTGAAAAAATAATCCCTTCCGCTTTGAACATGCGATGTTTCTTTTCATTTTAAGGCGATAGCAGGATCTGTAGGGGATGAGCACCTCGTTTATTATGAATTCATTGTTGTTTTCGACAGGATAATGTCTGGAATCCTAAAGACTTAAAACATATAGACGTCAATAAATTCAAATCATTATTACAAACGTTGCTTAAATTTGTCAGGGTTCAGTTAAGCACAAGATGTTAATCTTCATTCATAAGAACCCATTTTAAGCTCATTTTCATGACGGTACAAGTGAAGAGCATTATTAGCATTTTGACTTTAGTCGAAGAAGGACCAAATGCAATTCCTGTTGAGAAGTTATGTAGTTTTCGCGGAACCCCATTTGATAGAGGATTATATTTCAGAAAGCAAGAAACCATTTCGATAATTTCAGTATTATTGATTTTTGGTGCGTACACGAAAAAAAAGCCCTGCACTATGAATGATCTGGATGCTTTGCTTTTATTTGTTGACAGATGAAACCTATTCGGATCACTCAAACCGCCTGTCAGTAAATGGCACTGGTAGAATTCACGGAGTTAATTAAGGTTTCCGTGATCTTCCTGTGACATATACTGACAACCGGAAATCTACGAAAGGGGTCAGCTTGGGTTAAGAAACAGTTGGATATCTACTAAAATATAAAGATGTCTCTTTGATCTTCCAATTATGGCATTCTTGAATGTCTATATTTTTTTAATTTGTTTTTCACACTGTCTTTGATGCTTTGGATTAAAAGATGAATTTCTGGCCTGCAATATTGTTCTAGATCATAAACCTCGCTTGTCCATTTCAATATGGCGTGTTGTAGATTAATTAGGAACTGTATCGAGCAGGGTATTAGCATATAATAACTATCATTAATTCTACATACGGAACAACGACAATTTTACATAGTGATTAATGCAAGATCATTACTATTCTCCGGTTCTATAACACCTATACTATTACCTTTCGTGATGTTGTGAGGAAAAGCAATCATTGATATTAATAAACAACTCGGCTTTATATGAGAATCAGCACTTGGCTGATGAAACTTAGATGAATGCTTGTTATATTATAGCCGCCGATCTCTCCAAATCCGAGTATATAATTCAATAACGGCATAGTTTAAGCAATACTAGCAATGTTTTCGTCTAAGCATTCCTTTGATAATAAAATACTTTACCTTGGTGTATATTAATGAATTAAATTTTTGTGACAAATGAAGATTCTTCAAATTTATTTACAACCCATTTATAAATAATGCGATCGTTGCCCACCTGTTTCGCATAAGTTTTAATGTTTCTCATGCTTATTAGGCTTATAAAGACAGAGAATTGTATTAGTCATTTACAGGTCAACTCAAAATGAGTATATTTCATATACTTAGCCTTGTGTGTAGCAGTTAATTAAGAATTGATGTGCGCATATGAATCTTTATAGAAATGATCTAAATTAAATCTGGAGAAAATGCAATTTTATGAACCATAATTTCAATAGTTATACTTGTCAACTCAAAATGAGTTAATATATTTCATAATTAGCCTTGCATGTAAACTAAGAATTGATGTACGCATATAAATCTTTAAAGAAGTGGTCAAAATTAAATCTGGATAAAATGCGATTTATCCACAATACTCGTCAAAATGTTAGCTAAACAGTACAGCAATAATGTTAGTTATATACATTACAACAATATATCGTGTTGTGTTATATATTCGACATGCCTGGTTGGACATCACTTGTCCTTGAAAAACAGACTGTCATCAACTACAGTGATCAGGTTACCTGCTCCGCCATATTGTCGCTCAATGATGCAGTGCTCAATTTCAACTTTGTTAGAATTTTGATGCTGGAAGCGCGTGCCTTGGAATGCTAGAGAGACAGACAGACAACGGTTGATGGCGGACGCGAGAATAGACTGTCATAACGTCGTATGCTGCATAAATAATTTCAACAGAATAACAACAATTATGTCTATGTAGCTGTATCTGGTCTTGGCACTGGTAGAATTCACTGAGAATCCTAATATCAGTGATTCACCGGTTCCAAATTCGGTCGGCAAAAATCATCTAGAATTGATTGGAATCTGTGGTGATTGGAGTTTGATGTACGGTGACAAACAGATTTTATGAAAAAGTGATTGATGGTGATAGTTAACAGATATAATGTCATGTTAATGGGGACCGGATGTGGAGAGAAATAAGCCATCAACAGGTAAGAGAGGTAGACATCTCTCTATAATAAATTATGTCATCACGGGGTTAAAACTTAGCATGCGAATCATCTCGTCCGGCTGTCACGCCCACATATTCTATCAGTATGTTGATTTCGCAATTGTTACATATTTGTACTTTCTTTGGCAGTTTAAATGTAAATAATAGAATTAATCGAACAGAAATTGTTTAGTTGCAGAATTGTTCAAAGCTCTGAAATATATTTGGAAAAACGTACACTGTAGCCTAGTTGAGTAAATATAGGTCTGGCCTCGGCGTTGCATACCTTTGGATGAAGACCAGTCATTGTCTAAATAACCCGTCTATACAGAGCGGGAAATAATAATTCACACGTTGTCTTGGTAGGTGTAAAATTTGGAGAAGGGTTACTATTACTTAAATTGAGTTGACCTCTTTGATTTGGGTCAAAAATAAAATTGTCGATTTCACTGGATTTTAGGTGTTGATTTCTGTTATGTTGAAAAATACAGTTATAGATAAAGCCACCTGATTTTATGTTGCCATGCCAACACAATAATAGAAACAAAAAAAACATTTAACTTCTTGGTTTTGACTTAATTTAAAGGGGTTAAGCTCATTAAATGTGTAGTAACAAGGAATTCCCAGTAAGCTATTTATGGTGACAACCATATTCAACAATGCTATTAACTTACCTAAATTGCATATTGGGGGGTATTTTTTATATATATTATTGGCCTGTAGAAGATTTTGTTTAGCTAGACACATAAATTATTTAACTTTAGTCTAGTGTGATTGTCGCTTCTTCTTCTTTTTACTTGGAGCTTTACGTCCGCTTCCACCTACTACCGTCGCTTCCACTGGTCTACTTTTATAAGATATTAATGGTCTCTTCCCCAAATGGTTGCTGCGCATTATCTGAAAAATGTGTTCAGCTTCAGTTAATTCCACTAAATTTGAACTCATAGGTGATCGGATATTTTTTATTTTTTTCCATTATAGCATGAATTTCGCTTCTGTGCATGTCTGAAAGCTGTCTTTAATTTGAACGATGATTTTGGTGTCTATACAAATCACACCAGTCTTGCGTTATGACGTCAGTCGATCAGCTGAGGGGAGTCCCGTGTGCATTTGTATTCTCCCTCAATTTGACTCTTGAATCATGCCGATGACCCCCGTGAGAGTAAAACCAAACACGGGCGGTCACTCTGAATCATCGGAAGGAAGGGTCAAATTCAAAATTGCGTCCAAGATGGCCAATATTCTAATAACGTACAGTTTTCTTATTCCTTTCCTCAGATTAACTTTAGCAAACCTATGATTTGATTCTGGTGATCTGCCACACAGAAGCAGAGAAAAACAGAAAAATCCCAATAGACTGGGTATTTAGGTTGGATGACCAAAAGATTTTAGACGAATATCTCATGCTTCATAGAGATGACGTTAGGAGCAGACTTGAAAAGGTAAACTTAAAAGCATATAATGTACCATGTAAGCAATCTGTAAATCATATACGCACATAAAGACATTAAAGAGGATTAAAAAAATAACAAGGAAGGAACATCAGAAGGCGAGAGGCCTATCGAAGTTAATCCAGAAGACGATGAAGAAGTCAGTCCATGTACAAGAGCAATCTTCACTCCCCACCACCCCAATCGCGAATGAATATAGTCCAAATTCTTTGACAAATGTACACTTTAATATACGTCGTCTTGAAAACAGACAATTGCCTTCAGAAACTTATTTGCACACACACATTCGGGACGTTCTCGTTTCATCATTGATTTTCAACTATGTGCACACACAAACAATACAGATCTTTTTTATAAACTGGGACACAACTTCCTTGCTCTTGAACTGGTTTCTTTGTTGTCCCATGGATTAACCTTGATCTACTTGTTGAAGTCTTTTACTAACCTCATCATAAGAAATGTCTCTGAAATCTTCTTTCGGCCACCTTTCGGAGTGCCACCTAATTAATGGTATGAATATCACTTACCATTGGACGTCTGGAATAAATCGAATGCAATATCTAATGAGTATAATCATTTATGTGCACGAATATTATGTTTGCATTTGTATTTACTTCACACTAATTCGAACTTGTTAAAAAGCAATCAAGTTACCAGAAGTTCAGAACCTACCATGGAAATCAGCATTCTGAATGGAATGATGTTTAACGTCTTACTTTTCTGTATCCACTGAGTTAATTAAGACGGACATGCACCGTGCACTGTACTTTGTGAAATTTTAATTCAAACTGTCACCTTTTTATGCACGCCAACATTTGTTATTAAATGATCTTCGATAACTTGTACAGTTTTAATGGATAGGCTTACGTTGAAGATGCAGTGCACTTCATCAACGTCATTGCCAAACATACATTACACGTGGTCAAGACACGTATTATTGGCATAAACAGAGAGAGAGAGGGGTTTAACGCCCACTCGACCTAAACTAGGTCATTTCGGGACTAACACATGGTCCAATTTTATTTCAATAATTCGCTTGCGCGTAGGGTCTTTAGCAGTGGGAGGAAACGGGAGGACCCGGAGAAAACCCGATGGTTGGACAGGCGACCCTATTCCCTGTGACGTACAAACGAGGAATCGAAACTCTGCCAGTTGAGTCAATGACAGACCCTATGATACAGCGCGCACGTGCTAACCATCCCCCCCGGAATATAACAGATATTTAAGATAATAAAACAGCATTTTATTGGGATTTTTCTGGCTGCGATTTTCCCTCAAGCGCACGATGAACGGAATAAGAGATTAACATTGTCCGAATGGGTTGTAGATGATCATAATCAAATCATAATATGTTTGCTAAAGTTAATCTCGGGAAAGGAATAAGACAACTCTGCCAATTAATGATTACATTAATCCTGTTTTTATACAACCACATTTTCATGTGGACGTATATTGTCGCCGCCTTTGTTCGTCCGTCTATCTGTCTGTGTGTCTGTCCCTCCACAATTTGTTTGTGAACCCTCTACAGGTTACAATTTTTATCCGATTTTAACGAAACTTGAAATATAGGTCTATCTCCCAAATAATGCGGTTCCTTTCGATACTGGTATGTATCGGACCATAACTTCATGGATTGTGGCCCCTTTTTAGCTTATGAATACACTCTAGAGGTCCCAATTTTCAGTTGACTGCAATGAAACTGATGGAAATGCATGTTTATAACCCAAAGGTCTTGGTTCCTGTCGATATTCGCGCATATCGGATCGTAACGTCCTGAATTATGGCCCCTGATTGTACGAAAAATCACGTTTTTAGCTTGTGGACCCTCTAGAGATCACAATTATTATCCGATTTAAAAAAAAAACGTTCGAATATATTACCGTTACACCGTAATGTCGGCTGAGTTCGAATTTCGTGAAAATCGGACCAAAACTACCGGACAAAATGGCCGCAACCTAGTATGCAAATTGTGTAAAAATATAGTACATCAAGGTGTTGGGCCCTCTATAGAGGTCACAATTTTGATCCGATTTTGATGAAACTTGAAATTCATGTTTATAATCCAAAGATCTTGGTCCCTTTCGATATTCGCGGATATCGGATCGTAACTACCTGAATTATGGCAAATATGTAAATAAATATGGTATATCAAGGTTGTGAACCCCCTAGAGGCCACAATTTTGATTCGATTTTGATGAAACTTTAAATTTATGTTTATATATCACAAAGATCTTGGTTCCTTTCGATGATCGCGCATATCCGAACGTAATTTCCTGGATTATTGCCCCTGATTGTTTGAAAAAACACATTTTTAGCTAGAAGTCACAATTTGTATTCAATTTAAAAAAAAACGTCTTAAATATATCACCGTTACACATCAATGAAGGTTGAGTGCGAATATTATATCTTTATAACGCAATGATATCAGCCCCTTTCGATATTCGCGCATTTCACACCATAACTTCTTGTATTATGGCCCCTGATTGTATGAAAAATCAGGTTTGTTTTTTTTAGCTTATTTTCTATCCATCTCTTGCAAAATGTGGGCGTGTCTTGCCTAGCAACCACTGGTTTTAATAACTTGGCGAATGGTTTTGATATGAGACGAATTAATATAAGCCTTTGGCTTGTTTTTGAATCCTTACCCTTGATAGTGTAGGCCTATGTATCTTTAAATATCAGTCATGGCGGTCATTTTGAATTTCACGTCATAGTGACGCCATAGCATAAAATTGATGGGATTTTTTACAGTGGTATCGATTTCCTATAGGTAGACACTATACATGCTGAGTTTAGAGGTTAATATTCACACGTTATAGAGGGATTGGTGCACCTGTATATTAAATTTTATCCATACGGTTTAATGTAACTGTTCTTGAGAATGTAATCTGATTAAAACACGATCCTATTTCGTTTCGTTTTTATACTTCAAAATTTCGTTTTACTTGTCTTTACTACACTAGGTTCTGGAAGAGTTGTTATATAACCCGCGTTCTGGTTGATGTAAAGGATTAGCCAATGAAACGGCTAATCTAGAAACATCAACGCTGATTGGTTAATCAAATGTCTGACGTCATAGGGTCAAATGCCGCTCGTATGACCCCTGACGCAAGCTTCCACTATAAATGGTCAGATCTTCATATAGTAGAGGCCATCGAAAGTATAAAAAAAACGAATCAGACTAATGAGAATGTGTCCCCTTCTGTTGATTTCTAAGTGTTAAATTGGCACCTGGCTGTTAGGGTGATTAAGATTATTGATTGAGTAATCAAGTTTAATTAGTAAGTCATCATGTAAGCCGCCGCAGCTGCAGATGTTTTCTAAAGGTAAGTTATGCAGTTTCCGTTGAATAAAGTGCGCGTTTAATAGTAAATGCTAGAGTTTCACATTTAAGAAAATTATAGGAAACTAACCATTTGTCTTTGCCAGATCGTGAACTGTATTGAGATCTGGAATAAAGAGTCGCGAAAAGACGTATTATCGACAAATAATCTAATATTTGATTTAAAATCGTTTACAATGTCAATCAGGGAGTATATCGACAAACTAAATTATAGGGGTTTCCGCGATATAAATAAGCCAAAATGGTACTATTACAAAGTACAGCAGCAAACTCAACGACAGTTTCAAACCCGTTTAATTTTAATTAAGTATAGAAGCGGTCTCAGAACCGAGCCCCGTGGAACACCAGCATCAATGGTGTCGATATATTTTCTGTCAAATAAATAAACTTTAAAACAAATCAATAGCACCCCCTCCGTCCCCATTCTACTAGCATGTAACACAGCCCAACGGGCAAAACCATTTAAGGGCATTGATTTATTCGACCTACTTTTCTGCACCAAAACCGGGATAATCAACACAGACTTGGTCAAAAGTGTGACAAATCTACCGCCTTGAGAATTGCACTAGTTTTAAATATTATTGTCAATGAAGAAATTAAAGACCTTTTTATAAATATATTTCTTAAAAACTTCAAATATTGTGATTAAGAAAATTACGAGTCTATAATTACCGTGGTAATTTGTGGGTCTATTTTTATACGCCCACATTTTCATGCGGACGTTTATTGTCTTTGGTTCCTTTCGATATGGGCATGTATCGAACCGTAACTTCATGGATTATGACCCTTGATTGTACGAAAAATCACGTTTTTAGCTTGTTGGCGCTCTAGAGATAACAATTGTTACCCGATTTTGATGAAAACTTAACAGGTATGTTTATAACAGAAATACTTTGGTTCCTTTCGATACTCGCACTTATCGGACCGTAACTTCCTGGATTCTGATTGCACGAAAAATTTTGTTTTTAGTTTGTAGTCTCCCTAGAGGTCACAATATTTATCCGATTTTAAAAACTGTTCAAATATATCATCGTTATACCTTAATGACGGTTGAGTTCGAATTTCGTAAAAATAGGACCGAAACTGCCAGACAAAATGGCCGCACCTCGTATACGCAAATAGCGTAAAAGTATGTAATACCAAAGATGTGGACCCTCTAGAGGTCACAATTTGTATCCGATTTTGATGAAACTTACAAAAATTCTTTATATTCTAAAGATCTTTGTTCCTTTCGATATTCGCGCATATCGGACCATAACTTCATGGGTTATGATCTCTGATTATACGATTGTTTTTAGCTTGTGGGACCTCAACAGGTCTCAATTTTTATCCAATTTTCAAAACCGTTCACAGACATTACCATTACACGATAATGATTGTTGAGTTCGAATTTTGTGAAAATCGGACCAAGATCGCCGCCCCTCGTACGCAAATAGTGTAAAAGTTGTATTACCAGGTTAGTGGACCCTCTAGAAGTTTTGATGAAACTCAAAATGTGTATTACCTAAAGATCTCGGTTCCTTGTTCGGTACTTATTCAAGCAAGCCCTGCAGTAGTAAATACGACCCCTTTAAAAGTTTACCGCCCATATAAACAAATGAGATAACAAACAAACGCTCTGTACAACATTCCAACTGAATTAAAGAGA